GTTGCACCTGCTAATGTGCACCAGTCACCCTGCATACTGAGCCCTATGAATGCATTGGAAATGTGTTGGCACAGGCAGAACCAGACAAGGACATAGGCAAGGGAAAGCACATAGCTATTCTGCTTCTCTTTTCTAAGTTTGTGTTTTGCCACCCAGAAGTTCAGAGAACTGAACTGGAAAGGGGACCACTGCTACTCATAGCCTGTGACTTGAACTGGAGGGGTAAAGAACGCATTGCATAGCTGAATTGCATGGTATGGAGTATGGAAGAAAGAATACTCAGCCACAAGTTACATCCTGGTGTCTACTTTAAAGCTACACCTATGTTCTGATTGTATCTCTGTCCTAGCAGAACATTTACTTGGGAACACATTGCCTTTGATAATGCTGAAATCGGAGATTTTCATTATAGCCTAAGCATTTCTCTAGAACATATCTTGTGACACATCATGTCAGTGGCATGAATCTTATGGAGAAGTCTTAATTTTCAAGGCATGGCTGTCATGCAATGGCTTTGTTGTCCTGACCACTAACAAGCAATTGTACTATGCTCATATATTCAGATCGTTATGGAATTCTTTTGGTAGTACCCTGACAGGCTCCACATGGATGGCAGTAATGCAACCATGATTTAAACCAGTTTTAACTTCTTCTTTTGGAAGTACTTCCAAGCTCATGAAATACATAGTTTCCATCACAATTGTACAGTGACTCTCATAGCTCCTATTATATAGATGATAAAGAGTTTGTATACTTCTCTGAGATGGATTGAATCTCAACCTATTATCAACTCTATCTTCCTAATTCTCAGGCCTTAATTAGTAATCTTTGCATCCAAACAGTTGACACCAACTCCACAGTCAAAGTGTATACAAAGACCCCACTCCTAGTCACAGTGGCTATGTGTCCTCAGGCAGGTTATGAACCTGTATGGAAAAATTCTGCCTCTGATTGGGGGCCCCAAGGAAGCTGACCCTGCCTCAGCACTCACAGGCCTGGATATAGTAGTATCTTAGGATGAAGAGGTATTATGAAAGGGAGGAACTGGCTCTATGTTTCCTGTGGTCTTCCCGGAAATGGACCTTGCACCCAACCACTAGTGAGGAATTGCTTTGATGCCATAGCCACTTGGAAATATGTGTTGTGTGATTTGTTTAGTTCATCTCCTCCCAGACCAACCTTCCATCCCATCAGTTGTGCTGCCCAGGGCTTTCATTACCAGGGTCAACCCAAGAGCTTGCATTCACTACCGGGTAGGCTGGAGCAACTTCTAATGGCACTAATGACTGTTCTGCAGGGCTATACTAATCTCACCCAATGTTTGTTCTGCTTTCATTGTATTATGGGTAAGTTTAGGGAGACACCCTAGCCCCGCCCAATGGCAACCAGGACAGGTGCCAGGTGGACCCGGGACTCGCCCATGAGGGCGGGATAAAGGGAAGTTGGGGTGACATAAGGGAAGGTTCTTAAGGGCTGCACATGGAGACTCTGGCCCCTTCTCTCTGGCCACGCTAGCTTGCTTCCTGTGAGCTCACTCTGGCTTGTGTTTTGCTCTGGTGTTTACCTGAATAAAGAAGTCTTACCATCACGGATTACAGTTCATCTCTGAGCACACACGGTAACCCTTAAGAGGTAAGAGTCATTAGTTCTCTTTTACATTTTTTATACAAAGATGGAAACCAGCTTAGTAGCACATAGGTAGAAGAAACACCTACATCATGAACAGAATTCCTCTATTCTGTTCCTGTAAGCAAGGTGTTCAGGTTTCGAGAAAAGACATCCTCTACCCCAAACCTTGAAAACTATGCAAATTTCATTTTTCATTGTGTCAGAAAGGAAAGAATGTGTGTATGATAGCTTAACTACCAAGCTATTCTGCTGAGATTAATGAAAATTCATTCAATTCAATCAAAATACTCATAATACACTTATACATCTTTACAAAACATCCACCTAAAATCAGTCAGTATCAGCTAATACTATGCAGGGGCCTTGTCTCATAAGGGAATACCTATGTAATTCTGAAATTCTATAAAGCTTGGAGCTGTAAAACTATGCTGCTCTTTGTAAGCACAGAGCTCCAGAACATTCCTTGGCCTCATTTTGTTTTAGGCCAAGATTTTTCTGAATCTATGAAAGGAACATTTGAGAAGTGCATAAAACTTTCTGGCAACTCTTCCCTAAGCT